AGATGTGTTGCTGTGTGTGCCAAATATATGCCTGAAGAGTAGGCTCGAATGACTCTTTGCTTGTCACATGTCAAACAAAGAGGGACCTCTCCCTTTCAGCGCAAGGTAATCAGGTGTGATTTGATGGTTAACGGCAAGCTTTACAGTTCGTATGTTAATATTGATGTTGGAATTAATCCTAATACAGGACCATGAACAACACGTGGGAGATGGAGTCGTAGGTGGAAGGATAATATACAGGGTGAGTCAGAAGTAAGTTTATAAACTTCGTGTGCGTGTTCCAGGATCAAAAATAAGAAAAAAATGTTCCTGTGAACATGGGGTCGCAAATGTTTCATTTTCGAAATAATAGCCAAAAATAAGTTTCAATGAATTGGCTTTATATCAAAGTGAATCCAGCTTCCATAAAAGATTTTCAATTAACGTTTGGGCAGGACATGCTTATTGGTCCACACATGCTTCCATCACGTCTAAGAGGACCTTCATATAGGCGATTCTTAAGAAGACGCTTGCCATGTCTCCTTGAAGATGTACCACTGAATACAAAAATACAAATGTGGTTTATGCACGACAGCACACTTCTCCCATCGCGTCAGAGATCATCTCAATGAACAGTACTCTCAGAGAAGGATTGGGCGTGGTGGCCCAGTAGCATGGCCACCGAGGTCACCGGACCTGACTCCATTGGACTTTTATCTGTGGGGGTTACTTGAAGTCCGTCGTTTATGCAACACCCATAAACAATGAAGTCGACTTATGAGAACGTGTGCAGAATGCATGCGAGATGATTCGAGGAAACCATGGTGTGTACGAACGAATCCGCCAGTCTTGTGTACGTCGTGCTCGGGCATGTGTGGAAAATGGAGGACCGACCTTTATGTATCTGTTATAAAGAAACATCCCTGTCCTTATACTTGGCAATAAAGGCATAAATTGAAAATTATTTTTGGCTATTATTTTGAAAAACTAGCATTTGCGACCACAGGTTTATTGGAACATTTTTTCTTGTTTTTGATCCAGAAACACGTACACAAAGTTTGTAAACATACTTTTGACTCACTCTGTATACTAAAATGGATCTTGCAGACTAAAGAGTTATACAAATACACCAGAAATTAACTATCGTAAAACTCGATCCAGTGGTAGGATTTCACGATGTCGGTGATTAGCGTAACTAACTCTATGCAGCAGAGTCCTTGGTAAACTAACAGTCAACGCAGTTATTGAAAAAATATATCGGTCTCTTATGTAACTCGAAGATTCATTATCATGTTCAGAATAACAAACAACTGAAATCTATTCTGAGCCAAATGAGTCCACACACACTAACATGCCAATTTTTAGAATTATTTTAATACTATCTTCCAATCTATGACTGTCACATGTAAGCTTTCCCCATTCATTCTTCTGACTGAAATTTTTGTATTTGTCACCTATACCATTAGTGCTTATATGCCTTGACACACACACTCCTACCCTTCAACATCCTGATAATATATGAGAAGAGTAAAAATTATATATATATATATATATAATCCGTGGCGTAACAGCCCTCTGAGAGCCAAAGCCGACTACCTGGCTGTTGGCCTCACGTTCACATGCCTAAGCAGAGGTGAACGATCATCCAACCAGATAGAGGATGACGTGTGGTCAGCACGACGAACCCCCAGCCATCGCTAGTTAAGAATTATAAAACTTGTACAAAATTTTTCCGTCCTAACAGCAGATAATATTTGGGTCAACTCGGTAAGATTATAATACCAAATGTATTCTTGTGTATTACAGCTGGTGCAAGAAACCTGATCCAATGCTTGAACCAGACTTCGTGGTGGGACAAAGGTCATTGCCGGCCGCCAGCTGTTCTTTCCATCATTGCCAGCCAATTTTCACCCTATCTGTACCCATTCACGATCGAATACAGCATTCTTGTGGGTGAGTCTCGAAATGCTGAAAGCAGTGTGCTTAGACGACTGACGTAAGTGAACAATTTTGGATATTACACAAAGAAAGACGGACACTCGAAGATGACGTTCGGTGTCAGAAACGCAAACTATTATATTGAAATTCCATATTGCCTACAACAATCTTTCGATCACCGAAGAAACTGTTTCAAGCATATGATGCAAATAACAGCAATTTAAGGTTTAGTGGACTCAGCCGAAAATTCGCAGTTGTCTGGTCTGAATTCGTCTAAGTAAATGTTGTATAATTTTTTCTGTCACTTTATGAGGAAACCATGAAAACTTCAAATAAGTCAATTTCCTAGGCTTATATGCAAAACTGGGTGTATATTGATGAAAACAAGACAACCTCAAACGGGAAGTGTCTTAATAATATCACGAAAATGTCAGAATGCCAGTACAGTGATCGAATTTAAAATAAGTTACTTCCAGAACACAGTCAGGGAAACTCCAACACAGTATAACCAGTTTCATAGCTGATACTCAAACAGTATACCGCTTGCATAGAATCACGATATTTCAGTCAGAGTATACTGTTCAGCTCTTAAGGTTGAGACTGGGAATTTCCCATATAAACCAACAAAGAAATAATTTGAGTGTAGACGGTTTTAGTGTCGAAAATTTTACCGGATATATCCGGAACAGAATCACGTAAAACATCACTTCTCTAAACTGGTTTGAATATCAGCTTAAAACCGGCTGTCATGATTAGTATTCTTCATGGCCAGATGCGAGAACATCCAAGTGGTAAGCAAATAGCCAGCAACATAAACATTCTGTGTAATCGTTACTACAATCAAGCGATGTTCCTTGTGACGTAAAATAGGCTTATACAAATAAAGTTCTTCCTGTGTCTAAGGCTATGTCATGAGGACGAAAAGGGGAAATATAGGCAAAGTTCCACGCACCGTTTATCCATACGTACACTAAAAAGAAATTAGTCGCCAGTTTCACGCTCGTGACCAAATCTACTGGATACTTGAGAAAGAGACGTCAACAGAACAGAAAGCTGTATTGGTCCCTCGCCCAGTCTTGACACGGTGACGTAGATAAAAACTCTGCCCTTGTCTGAATTCAAACACATCTATTTCAGTCAATTACTTCACTGACGGAATAATATATCGGCTTAAAATATTTTCTGAAACACAACCAGCTCATTATCTATATCGGCTTAAAATTTTTTCTGAAACACAACCAGCTCATTATCATTTACATTCCAAAATAAATTTTCATATCGTTTATTTTGAACCCTTAAGTCTCAGTAGTAACTATATAACCACCCACTTCAACAATCAATGATTTTGCATTTTGTATCCGTTTCGCATAATTCTCACTGTAAAGTGATTACTTTATTAAATAACATTAAATAATTGATCTTTGTAATGGGTACATGTGTTTTACTTACATTACGGACTGAGATCTCACATACCAATTACACGAGCATCGACCTCAAGGGGTTAAAATGAAGCTCTTATTTTATCTTGGGTGTGCTATACAGATGTATGGTAGCCAGAATGCACGAAATTATCAGACGGTGCTACAGTCCACAACTGTGATTCAACCTATGTGCTAGCAAGAAGAACAACGAATAACGTGTCAGGAATGAGTTTTGGAGGCGAGATTCAAATCTGACATCTCTGAAACTCACCTACGAATAACTGCGATCAGGCTTATCTGTGTCCGGCTGAGGTATGAAAGAGAACCACGAGAAACCTATCATGACTTAAGAGGAGTGATCTGTTAACCGTGTTGGTACGACTAGCTCGCGGGGATAATCAGCGTCGGGCATCTAGAATTCGTTTAGAATTTTTGGAGTCCCTTTATAAATTAAAGCTGCGTATTTCAAATAACAACTAGTTATTCGACACGCAATGCCGAAAGGGGTGTGTGTTACCATCGAAATGCACCGTTCTGATCCTCTGTTTTTGGTCGACATTCCAGTAGGCATCCTGTTCATCATTTGGCAGAATATTGGCAAGTGTGCGCAAGACCATAGCAGTACCTCGACCATGTGCCTGGCTACGGGAAGTAACGACTCCCACAGTAACCTGGTGATCCACGCCGACTGCCATTCTGCCAATAAGGGACTGTTCGCCGGCCTCATTGTCCTGGTCGGCTCTATTGTCAGCATCATCCTCTTCTGCATTGTCATGGCCGACAAGTACGTGATCGCCGTCTCTTAGTCACAGAAAGAAAAATTATTGAATGATTCTGAGAGATGAATTGAAAAGGCTGTGATCGGAAGCTGTCACGGTATATTTTGAAGCAATTTCTCATCATCTGCTTAGAGCAAATGAGTAAAACTAAGTCTGTCGGTCGAGATTCTAGCCCGGAAACATCCAAATTCAAAGCCACTCATCTGTAAATATTCACCGCCCAGTCTGTATTAAATATAGTCCCCTGTCTCCGCAACTTTTTCCTTTCTTTCTGTCTGATAGTTGATGTAATTCCGTACAGCATACACTGCATAAAACTATGTACATGAATTACTGATGACTAACGCTTTAGTATTTAGCACTATGGCTCCGGAGTGATTGGTTGATGCAGTTGCCAGGCAACGGTTTTTAGCACCAGTTATATCAGTCACCTAGTAACATAACCAGACGGAGAAGAAAGAAGACAAATGGGCATAAGGTGTAGTTATGTAGCCTAAGAACAGTAAACTACTACTAGTACTATAATTAACTTTCGGGTTACATAAAAGACGGAAATTTTCTTGTCCAGATGGGTGGCTATCATATTCTCAAGGACACTCAAAGGAATTCATTAAAAACGTACAATAGATGGCCACAAGTAAATAACTCCGTCTTGTCTGAGAAGGTGACCGTCTTTCAGCCTTTCAAGAAAATCTGTACTTTTATTAGATTCAGATGTCTATTACTGCATTCACAAGAGCTCGCCACTGGTCTCTACCCTGAGTCAGATTAAATCAGTCTATCTGCCCACACACAACTTATCTCAAATCCATTTTAATATTATTCCCCCACACACTGATGCAAAAGTCTTTTTCTCTCAGATTTGCCAACCAAAAGTTTTTACGTCTTTCTCAGTTCCCCATCGTATCATTCTTGATTTATCCACCCCCATCAATATTAAATGAAAAGTGTAAATTTTTAAACTACTTATTACGCAACCCATAATCATAATAAGTTCGTTCACGTCCCTTGTGTGAAATGTACCGTCTAACTTACACGTGAACCACCTCTTAAGAAAATGTTTCCGTTGCTGCAGCGAGTTCGTCAGCATGGGTCTGACAGTTAACGCCATCTCGGAGCTGATCCTGTTGCTACTGATGACAGTTGCTGTTATTCTTGCGTACCGGAAACTCACTCAGCTGGACATCAACAACCACCCCATCTCCTTGCTAGACGACTTGTTGCTCTTCATTTGCATACCTGCGTTCTTCCTTTACGGAATCTTCAGCATCATTCCTGCCATGATCAAGAACAACGGGCTCTCAATTGCTGTTACTCTGTTGCAGGTAATAGAACGCTTCAATAGGCTGCTGCTGCTTCTTATAGAACCATCAAATCTTTCATATCATTATCGAGGTATTGGTTCAGTTAACGACGTTTTCTTCAGTTGCGTACGTTATGCAGTGTGGAACTAGAAATGGTGTGCAAGGATGTGTTACTGTTTTATCCCACTATTTATCTGGCGGGACTGAAGAAAACCAAGATAAAACACAGTCAGTGGCCAAGGTTAGAATATTGGGCCTTCCGAATAAAAAATAAGAATGTTAACTAATCGACTATTACGTTACGGGACTAACATACTATACTATACTGCACTATACTAATACTTTAATAGTACTGTGCTATACTAATAACACAAGCGACTTAACATACTGTGCAGAGTCTACTTGTAATCACTTATCTCTTGCATCAGCTTTCACTAACCAGTAAATCCCTCATCTTTAGGTGATTCAGGTCCTACTCCAGACACCCTTCATCATCGACGGTTTGCGGCGTTGCAGCAACACGCGACATCTGCGTCTTCAGAAGCCAGGAAGAGAGTTGGTGACGTTTCTAGTGGTCTGCAATGTAGCCATGTGGATCACAGAGACTTTCGAGATAAAATCTCACGACAGGAGAGACGATCGCTATGACGTGTATGGCAACGTGTTGTGGACAATGCTCAGCCACATGACGGTACCCCTGACCATGTTCTACAGGTTCCACTCATCTGTATGCCTAGTTGACATCTGGAAGTCGGCTTATGAACGTGGCGAGTAACGACTCAAAAAGCCCGTGTTGAAATTTTCGCGGAAAATTGAAACGTGTCTTGAAGATCTGAACAGGTTGTCTGATTCCGAAATATATTTCTGACTACGTTCTAATGCTTAAATTTCTTTCTAATTTTGAACAGTGACCTAAAGGAATACTAAGCCTGAACGACTTCAAATCGGACTAATTTAAGTGCAAGTAAGTAACTGAATATATCCTTAAATTTATCCACATGTCCAAAACGTTAGAATTATCGAATTAAAAAGGAAGAGATGAGCGTTGCGTGTAGCACGCATGAGTGAGATAAGAAAGGCTGATTTAGAAGCCCGAAGGGGAATAGGTCATTCGGAAGAACAAGACATGGATGGGAGGATAATAAAATTGATCTTATGAAAGTAAGATGTGGGCCAGATTCATTCGACTGAAGATAGGGACTGGTGGCTGGTTCTTGTAAACTCTGTAATGAACCTTCGAGTTCCATGTAAAGAGGGAGATTTCGTGAAGAGAAATTATCATCTTCTGAAGGTATTTTGCTCCTGGAGTAGATTAGTAAGTTGTGTGTAACGTAACTACTGTCTGCATTCAAGATCTGAATGTCTCTAGGTTTCATCATTTCTCGGAACTAGGACAACTGATATGATGAAATACTGACTATGTCTTGAATATAGATCTCTCAATGGACTTGATCAATTAATATTTTGTAAAAACATTAATAAAGATTTGGGTTCCACATACAAGGCAGGGAATTTCTTGTCTAACGGAACTACGTATTGTCATCTTCTGAATAACGTTTCCTCCATGGAGTTAGTGAAATAGCTGTTAAAATCAAACGTACGAGCACAATATATCAATATACGGTAACAATCACGAAGCCAGTGACGTGTAAAATATTTTGCTGCCATAATTGGTGGCTATTGAGAACTTCATGTTTTGATCTCACACTGTAACAGTCTTTTAGCTGTTCATTAAACTACAGCGTGAGATAAAAACACTTTTTGGGCCCGTCCACGTCCGTCTGCTGCGAATTTAGTAAGGCGTAAGAAACCCACACGACGAGCGTCATTGTTGGGCAAGATTAGGAACTTGGCTCATTTACAGATTGTTGCAGTGACATCGAATCACAGTGCAACAATGACTTAAAAGATGTTGAAAAACGCTGAGACAGAGGTCACTGCTGGTAGAAACTGTTGCGCAGAAGTGACATATGATCATATGAGTGCAACAATGATTTAAGGATATTGTTCTATCACAATGTTACTCAACAATTACCTCAATGTAGCCGTCAATGACCTATTTGATGCAGCGTGAAGAATATTTTTG